TCCATTAGGCTGATATTGTACAGTAGAAAATTTAATAAAATTTTTGTCGAAATTATATGATGAAAATAATCTTTTTATGAATTGTTTATGATGCTTGTGAAGTTTTTTAGTATTTAAAGAATCATAAATAAATATGTTTCTTGTGTCATAATAACTACATGCCCAATGTCCATCGCCCTATATCGCCTTATTTGTGTTAATCCAATTATTTGCGCTAATTAATTGCATGTGGAGTATTATTATTATAGACAATATATATTAAATATATATATTGTCACACGGGGATGATCGAGGACTCGGCCTCGATAGTATGGAAATGATTGAGGACTCGGTCTCGTATACTCGTTCTATTATCGCACGGATCCGTGTATGATGCTCGTCGAACTCGATCTGATCTCTATTCAAATGCAACTTCATATATATAAGAAAATCGGGAGCTGTAATTCAGCCAATCACAGCCCGATCCTGTGGCGGCGTTCTGTCCCTGTCGCGAGGTTCTTCGAGTCATGAAACGCAGTGGCTCGATGATGTAGGGTAAGGACATAAAGGAAGCCGCGTCATATGCATTTTCGAGACTCCGTGCGGCGGCGTCTTGTGATATAATTCTAGCCGCTATTCCGTCGCAACAATACGCTTTATTTTCTTCAGCATCAATCAAGATTATTTTAGTCTCCATGGAAGCAGCCATCTTTGTACTTCGACTGCTTTACTTCACTGGTTACAGCAATCACAACAGGAAGTACATCAAAATCAATTACGTTATAGAATTCAAGGCAATACTTTCAAGGCAATAGTGCACTGCTTTCTATATCAGAACGCTATTTGTAGTACTGATAGTACTCGGAGTGAATAAAGAAACGCATCTCTAGCCAGCTGCAGAAAGCAGGAAGTGATAACATAATCTATGACGTCACATGCTTGCACAAACTCATCGAAAGTTTACCATAGTATATTTTGGAATGGAGTGTTACAGCCTGGCAGTGAATATCGGAATGCAGCCTATGGATGCGTTCCTTTATTCCTTCCGAGTACTCATATTATGATGTAATGGAAGTGTACTGCGGCTATCTTTCTGTTTTAGTTTCGTGCGCTTTTTAATTACTTCAAGATTATAAAGCGGAACGCAGTTGCAGTATGTTTTCTGAAACTCCAACTGAAATAATGGCTAGCATATCTAATATTTAAAAAAATATAATTTTATTATATATATTAAATATAATATATATATATATATATATATATATATATATATTGTCGCGAGCGCCGAGAACGCAATCACGCTCACCGCTGACAAAGCGGATTGCGGCAAGCGATACTTTATCCGACGAATTATTATTTTACTAAGCGATAGCGATTACCAACGCTACCGTGCTAATCGCGCAAATATTGTGTAATCGTTCCACGTGAAGCAACTGTTAACCGGGTTGCGCGGCCCTTACGCGGAAAACCGCCGCGCGACCCAGAAATATACCGCGAACGCTGACGATCATGTTGATGACACGGCCAAGACCGGCCGCCTGGAACAGGATAAAAACGGAAGACCGATACTAGGAGAGGACTCGTCGAGATCTGCCGTGCTGTCATGTCTGTCGCGGTCCGAATTAAAAAAGACAATCTGTATCAAGTGTTAATAAAATTTATTGGTATTAAAAAAGTGATGAGTGCCTCCTCCCCGCCGACTCCTTGACCGATCCACCGAAACGACCCGCACAACAATATATATATATCAGAGATCTGGACTAGACCGAAACCGAAACCGATAATCGAATTGCAACCGTTATTTTAGTCGGATCGAAACTGAAACCGGACTGAAATATTGAGCAGGCTGAAATATTGGATGGACCGTAACCGAACCGAAATTTTTTTTTCCGATTTTTGGTTCAATTTTCGTTCCAGTTTTCGGTTCGGGTGTTAAATATTTTCTAAGTGTCGGTCCATAATAGATGATTTAAGCTTTAAGAAGTAAGAAATTGTAATCGAATATGAAAAGAATAATCGACTATGATTGGTCAATTTCTTACGACTTAAAGATTAAATATTTATTAAAGATTAAATACTTATTATGGACTGACACTAAGGCGGGATCTACAATAAGGTCGCAAAGTCGTAATAGCGGTCATAACATACTCGCGATAGTCAATCAGAGCATGATTGGCCGACTAATATTACGACCGCTATTGCGACTTTGCGATCTATTGTGAAATATTTAAAAATTTAATTTTTTTAAAATTTAAATTTTTAAAAAATATTTTTAATATTTCACAATAGAAAAATTATTTATTTGGAGGAATTAGCCGGAAGAATTACCCACCGAAAAATTATTTATTTGGAGGAATTAGAAAATCGTTAATGGTAGCTCATTAAATTGTTCGAAGTCCAAATGCCCATATATATGGTGCTGCGGACATTTCCGCGCTCGTGTGCACTTGAAACTAGAAACAGAGTACACAGAGTGCACTTTTATTTTATAAATCTATAGTTCCTTTAATCCGCGCTATAGAGTATTCCATAGATAGATATAGTAAGATAAATTATCCATTTACAAGTTTCAAGAAGAAACCTCCTATAATTCATTGTGATTAATTTTCTCTTCAAGAAGCATGACTTTTCTATAATATGCGACTTATTATACTTGTATTCTTTTTTATGCAATTAAATTTTACAATAGATAATTATACATCTGTAATCGTAACCGAAATCGAAAAAAACCGAAATTCAAACGATTACGATCATTATTATCAGTAAAAGGACCGGAATCGAAACCGGCTCAAAATTTCATTTCACTCCGGATCCCTGAGATATGTATATATATATATATATATATATATATATATATA